GCTAGCCCTTGCAGGGCGTCCACTGACTGACCAGAAGATCTACATCCCTCTTTCAAAAGATATCTTGGTTCCGGAATCCCTCGATTGCGATCAGGATCTGAAGCAGGCAGAGCGCCAGCGCCCCTCTCAGGAAGCCATCGCGGCGCAGAAGGGGTCAGATAGATATGTTCACCTCCTCAAATCTCTTTTGAGCCTGAGCGGAGAAGGTCTTGGCAAATCACCGGTTCTCTTGGTGAACCTGACATCGTACGTCGAGGAATTTGGGAGTGCTGTTTCTTGACTGCAGATTGTAGCCACTTCACAGACGTTACGTAGTGATTCTTTGTTTTACATTGTTTAGCGCCAATTTGAGCTCAAGTTGGGGAGAGGCGGGCCTGGGTCGCTTGTCATGCTGTGCAGCCCAAATGCATTCTTTGAAAAGGCCAAGCACATTATGCCATGGCACGATGAAGAGGATGACCAAATAATAGTGACACCATTACCGCCAGCACCCTTGGCCTTTTGCAAACTGAAAAGCGATCGACCTCTGTCAGATGACAACCCGTTCAGCCCTCTACCCGCTGATTGGACTGTGCGACCAATGAAGATGGGTGTGTCAATTGCTGTTCTGCCTCCATCAACAATTGCCAGCAAAATTCTGAGACACTGCCAGGACTGAGTTGCGGAGTTGCTTATTTGGGGAATAACTGTGAACACCCAAGGGTATCAAAGCATCAGAGGTACAGGTGTTTTTCCCTAAAGCAATGCAGAAGCTTACAGTGAATGGCCACCATTTTTCTGCCGTCTTGTCTTGCATTTTGTCAACGCTACAGTTGCTTAATGTTGCCCTGATGGTCGCGAAAACGTTTTGCGTCCAAACATACATTTTGTGGTTCCCACCCATCCTTCAGGAGGAAATTAAAAAAAATGCAGATGAAGTATGGTGGAGACCAACTTGCTGTTTTCAAGATTGGAATTTCCCAGTGCTTGGAACGACGAGTCCAGTACTACTATGAGGCAAATTTTTCAGAAATGCGGTGCTTGCATGCGACCAACTCTCTAGCTCAAGTTGAGGTCTTGGAGGCCTCACTGATAGACTTGTTCAAGTCCTTATACCCTGTGCAGTGCAGGAACAGGTTGGGTGGTGGAGAAGGGATGCGGACAAAGTCTGGCCATCCAAACAATCCTCCACCTTACTTTGTTTATGTCGTGGCTGCAAACGCGTCACAAAGAAAACCAATCTATGGATAAGACAGCCACGACCAGTGTAAAGGAAAACCAAATTCAATGCACCTATTTCAATTGCTCAGGCTCAAAGACTTTGGGTGTTCTTTGGCACTCAAGGGCAAACAAAATATGCTTATAAACACTTGTGCTCTTGTTCGTACTGCACCAGGAATCTCAAGAGCGAGTCACCGTTGTCTTCTAGTGAGCAGCAATGGGTTGGCACTTGATGTTCAAACCCTTGCCAGTTGCTTCTAAAATAGAGGTTTGACTTTGTGCCACTCAAGGTTCTCCAGATGAAGGTCGCCAATGAGGCAATTGGTGCATGGAGCTGCGACAACTTGTTCTACCTGAGTGCCTCATGGATCTCCAAAGATAGCTTTGGACATCGCAGGCTCCAACGGGATGTTTTGCAGGCATGGATGGACAAGAAGATCCAGTTTGGCGGCCAGCAGTTTCTTTCCAGCCCACCAGATTTAACAGCCGAAGAAATCAGGTCCGTGCCAGGGGGTGAGGCTTCCATGAACAGTGTCGACAGCTTGCGCTGGGAGGTTCTGGAACGTTCCGGAACTAAGTTGTGCATCAAACAGGACGAACATCGCTATTGGGCTTCACAAACCGGAGACATTCTAGAGACTTACAAGGGGCTCAAGACCCAGCATGACCAGCTGGCCGAGAGGTTTTCTGGAGTGTGCGAAGGTAATGATGCTCCAGAGCCTGCTGCACCAACGAACAGCGCTGATCAGGGCCAGGCGAAAAGCGTGTTCATTTAGTTTTTTTGTTGGTGATGGAATTCTAGGGATTCCATCAATCATGTTTCTGTCTGTCACTGTGTACTTTGGTAAAACCAAGCAATCGTTTTGGCAGGCTGCAGTTCCAGCTCCTTCCAGTTTTGACTCGCTCGAGAAGTTGAAAGAGCAGGAGAAGATTGAGCACCAGGTTCCATCGGAAGTGTCTGGCATACAGATCATGCTGACAGACAAAGGCCATGTCTATCTCATCTCCGACCGGGAGAAAGTCCTCCCCGTTTCTTCCCAGTTGGGAGGGTTTGGAGCGGGCCAGTACTCAAAAGCCGCAGAGTGTGGAGCAGGAATTTCCTTCAAGCTGCCAGACAAGGACCGCACAACAGTGCAAGTTGATGAAAGCACCATGAGGGAGAATGCGGCCACAGGTGCCGTGGCCACGCTGTCCCTGTACAAGCTGTTGATTCGCACGGAACGCGAGAAGGGTGTGACCGCTCACAAGCTCTCTTATCACTCTGTGAGCCGGCTTGCTGATGTTCAACCTGGATCGGATGGCTTCAGCATAGAGCCAAAGGAGGACATGAAATTCAAACTGGTCCAGACAGGTGCAAACGGAGAGCCGAGCAAAATTGTATGCAAGAACATCTTTTCCAAGTGTCCGATTGATCTCCTCGAGCAGTCACAACATGTGACTGTGGCATTTAGATTTCGCTTCGAGCGAGTAGGCCTGAGCCTGAAGGTTCAGAAACCATATCTCATCACCAAGGCCCCCTTAACATTTCGGAAGGGTGAGCCTCTGAGGGTTGTTTGAGAAAGCTAGTCCTGCGCAAAGAAAGCCTTTGGTGAATAGCATGATGCTGAATAAATACAAACAAGAAGTGCCCCAAACAGATTTGATTTGCAGCATCTTGCCACAGAGTGAGGTTTCCAAAGCAGTCCGGCTTTCTTTTGCTTTTGCAGGTTGAGTCCTTGGCTTTTTGAATTGCTTCGCGCCGGGTCACTGTGCCAGATTGAGTGTTGGTGCAAGTACCTGAGTTGGCTTAAACCAAAGCAATTGTTTGGGTCTGGTCTTTTCTCTGACTTGGAGTTGATAAAGGCACCAGTGAAAGTAGCGAATGCCAAGGCTAGAATGCTAGAAACTCAGAGGTCTGCTTTTGTGTGCAAAAATGTCCACTCCAGTTTGCAGGCAGGCAATCAGTTTGCAGCTGATTCAGTGAATTCCATGTTGCACGCACAGTACATGTTTACATGTTGATTTGGACATGCAGGATACCTTGATGCCTTCTTCAAGTGTTTTGGTTTAGGATTGACAGCACTGCGTTCATCATTTTGGATTTTAGATGCATGGAGGCGACACAAGAGGGAGACCTGATTTTTTTCTACGTCCATGTACCGACCCTGGTGCTGGTTGCTTTGATTACCACGGCTGGACAAATGGTGTTTTGGATTTGTTGGCGACCAACCAGACGACATCCCATCAAGATCACGCGAGACGTTGGTGTTGGGCCTGGGGCTTCATCAGATGTTGGATCATCAGACGATTCCTTTTTGGCGGCTACTTCTGTGCGGCATCAAACTGAAGAAGCAATAATCTTTGTTGCGCCTACCGGAACTCGGTGGCATAGTTGTGAGAGCTGCTCACATGTAAAGAGATCCTCTCTTCGCAGGCTTCTGCCATGCATGCACTGTGTGCACAGGGGCTGAAACCCAGAAAGGCTTATTATATAATTTGGGCAGGCGCCACTGCCCCTGAGAAAAAGATGTGTCAAACCGTTGTTAAGAGATTCACATTGGATGGGCGCAATTGTTGGTGGGCAGTAACAAGATGCTAACATCTACTAACAGCTGTCAATCCAAGATGCTACTGCTTTCCAAGCCTTCACCCTTTGTTCAGTAGACTCTCAAGATTTGCAACATGTTGGATTCACCATTGATTTTGATGGAATTCGGCTCAATTCATTAGGCATTGGGTCCCATTAGGTTCAACCTCAGGATGGCAACTTTTGATATCAGAGGTGCAATTTTGCAGAACCTTGGTGCGGCGTCGGCTTCAACACCCGCATTGCCGAAGGCTTCCCCTGCTGCATCGCCACCCGCAAAATCGTTCAGCAACCAAAGTTTGAGTCCACCTATCCTGCGCGAGACTCCCAGTCCCACTCCCACTCAGACAGAAGAACGTGGTCGAGGGCGGGGACGTTGGCGTGGGCGTGGACGGGGAGGGGGTCGAGGAGGCCGTCGGCAAGAAGGAGGCGGCAAGTCTCCAGAAAAATGTAACTCAACGCAGACGTTTCTAATTTTTGAGTAACAGTTTGATTTCTACTGCCTGTTGGTCTGGTTTATGTTGGCGTATGTTGGTGTGTTTTTTCCAACCTGAGTACTGTTGTGTGACCTGAGGTACTCCAATAATGGCTCGCCCTGCTTCCAAGAAATCCACATCGGCATCTGGAGGGGATGTGACAAAGCCAAGTTCAAAGACACGCGTGTTGAGGAGGCCTTGCAAGTCGCCAAAGCCTCCTACATCTCAGACTAAGACCCCACCAAAAGATGTGCCCAAAAATGAGTTTGACGGCATGGAAACCGGAGATGGAGAAGAGCAGGGCGAGGAAGAGCCAGTTCGAGAAGTTGATCCGCTAGTGGATGAGAAATCACAAGTTTTGAAGAAGCCAAGCCATGCTAACAAAGGCAAGGCTGAGTTAGTGTGCACAGAGAAGCACGGGAATTGGACTTTTCAGAGGTTCAAGCGTAGCACTACCGGTTTGCCTTTCAATAAATTTGTTGGTCCAGATGGAAAGATTTACTGGACAAATCATGCAGCTGAAGCAGCTGGGTTCAAACGACTTGCAGCGTGAGAGTGTGAGAGAGGAAGAAAAGAGCAAAGCACCTGTGAAAGAACCCTGACTGGTGAAAGAACTATCTTTGGTAAAAGTTACTTGTATGTGTGTGGCACGCCGGCCAGAAAATCATGTTGAAACATCATGAAACATCCACGTCTAGCATACACTTCAATTTTTGGCCTTGTTTACCTGACTTTGAAGGCTGCCAGTGCTCACAGTCCTTTGGGATTCAGCGGGTAAAGTGTAGTGCCAGAGGTCCCGTCGAGGATCTGCTGCTCATGCGAACCTGGCCGCTTTCGAACCCATTCAGATCACAAAGCAACAAAGCTTAGGGCTTAGGGCCTGATTCTGCAATGTCAGCAGCGAGGACACCTTGCTTGGAAGAGCGGTGGTTGTCGTGGATGTGCACCTCACTTGGGCCAGACATGTGGGCAGGAAACTGCATTAAACGAATAACAAAAGTTTTTGGAATGGGGTTGCTGTTGTAGGGCGAATGATCGAGTCCATCCAGGTGGCAATTTCCGTCTCCCCATGTGCGTTCACTTTAGTCTCGATGCGCATCATTCGTGGATCTTCTGCATTGCCTGGAAGGAAGAGGCAAGAACTACAGTAAGAGTAATACTTGCAGAATTAGACCGATGCAAATGATGAGACTTCCCACCCAGTGAGAAGTTGCGTATTCTCCCACTAGCTTCACATTTGCAAGGCGTAGTCGAGGAGCAACTTTGCTGGCTTCCCGAGGGCGAGCTCTATTGATCCGAGGGGCATAGAAGGAAGAGGAAGAGGCAAAACGGAATTGTTCGAATGGA